TCAAAGCGTGTTCTCTCAGGCCATAGCGGATGGGAACACCATTCACAATGAACCACACTTCCTTCCTCTTCGAGCTATCCACTGTCCGCAATAGCAACATCCACATTCCTTGGACCATGTGGTTTGAGTCCTTCTCCATGTGGAACACGTGAGAGAATTGTGGATGCTCCTCAAACCACTTCCTCTCAGTATTACTCATTGGCGGTTCCAGATTGTCAAATGTAACCATAACGTCATTGACGAAACATTTGGTCGCTATCTTTATCTGTTTCCTGTACTCCGACTCATAGAAGTACATCCTCAACGGTTTGATTGCCTCGGTTGCCTCTAATTCCTGCAAGTAACATTGTGTTCTATATCAGTTATGCAAGTACTAAAACATAGTTCTCCTAAGTTATCCGACCCTATTCAAGTTCCACTCCCCACTTATTACCTCTTCTCCTTGCCCGACAACCCCTTGACCATCACCATCAACATTTCCTGATTCCGCTTCCAATGGGAGTTCCTTCTCTCCTTCTTCTCTGGTATCTTCCTCCTCTTGTATTTCTTCTACTTCTTCATCGCTATTTCCTTCTTCATCTTCATCTTTGTCTCCATTTTCTTCTTTCTCTTCTTGAGATTCGTCGCTATTTCCTTCTTCCTCTTCATCTTCCTCTCCGTTTTCTTCTTCCCTTTCTTTCTCCTTCTCCGATTCTTCTTTCTCTTTCTCCTGATCTTCTACATCCTTAGCCGGTTCTTCTACTTCATTCTCCTCCGCAACTCCCACGGTTCCAACAAAATCAACCGCCGGTGATTCCTCATCCGTCGTTTTTCTCTTCTTCCAATTCTTCTTCGGTTTGTTCTTTTGCGGAGGAGGATCCGTTGGAGGAGGCCTATCATTTCTCTTACCCAGCCTAGTTTCAACCATGATTCACACGTTTTCGGTGAATAATCGAAGAGAAATCGAAGGAATCGAAGTGGGATGTTCTAGGGTTACGTTTTCGAATTTGGGAATTTAGGGGAAACCGTTGAGGGGATTTGGGGATTTTGGATGGATTTGGATTCGGGTTCGAGATTGGATCGAGATGGTTTAAGTTGGATTGGGGACGGTTAACATTGAGTGGTTATTTAGATTCGGGTTTCGTTGGTATTTCAATTCGATTCGGTTTTCCCTCCGGTTAAACTTGGTAAAACCCGTAAATAGTTTACAGGGTTAACTGTAAATTCCAGCAATTTCCCATTTTATATTTTTTCGTTTTTGTTTCATGTCTTTCGAAGATTGATTGAGGAGGAGAGTGGGTATAGGAGATGATGTCCAAACGGGTGCTTGTTTTTCTCTCTCTTTCTGGAAAAACAAATCCGACCCAATTTCAGTCATGGAGACACAAATCGATTTCACCCACACATACCTTTCCTCCCTTTCGATACTGAATCAATCAATAGCGACCTCGTCCCATCGTCTCACTTCACTTCTCCTCTCGTTGTTCATCCGTAGAGAGCTATTCGGCTTCTTAGTTTCACTTAGATTTTATAGCTTTACCTGTGATTTCACTAGAATATGAGTTGATTCGTGTCGATTTAGGGTTTACTATAAGTTATGTGATGTGTGTATTTGAGGAAGATGCGTCATCGTATGAACACAAGTTGGTTATATTGTATTCGATGTTTTTTAAGTCGGTGACCTAATTGTTGCAGGAAGTGATATCAATGGGTAGTGAAGATGAATCAATAGAGCAGAAGTCTGCTGCTCGTAAAGAGGCGCTTAAAGCTTTAAGGATGCTTCAGGAACTTTCTGAGAGTAAGGAAGATGGAGATGGTGATGCTGCTGTTGAATAAGAGTGAGTATGCTTTGTTCTTTGCTTATTTTATTGATCTAGATCTCTATCTACAGTCATGATTCATAGAAAAAAACAAACTTGTCAAGATATTTAGGGAAGGAACGATTCGAGTAGCGTTTGATTGATGTGTGTTGGCTAAATCAAAAGAAGGAGCTTCTCTAATGCTTTGGTTTTAACCTCTCTGTTATACAATGCCCATAACCAAAACAGTGGTTTCGTTTTTTAACTTGCATTATAGAGATTTGTGGAAGAACTATCTATTGCACTAACTTTGACAAGAAGGTGACTTGTTTTTCTTTACACATTAGCTTAATTGCACTAACAAAAAGTCATGCTTAATCACAGTTCTTTGTTTGTTTCTCTTCTCAAGGTATATATCATTCACTAGTTCAACTTCCGTTTTTAATTTCTCCAGAGAAATTGCTGAGAATTTGATTTTTTTTTTGCCAACGTTCTGGCTATACCATGTCCTCAATAACAACGTCCTCACAATCACCATGCCTAAGGAGAAGCTAGAGGAGAAAATGTTGTTGGAAGAATCAAGAAGGAAAGAGAAGGAAGTAGAGGATGAGAAGACAAAGAAGCATTGGAAGAGAAAGATGGAATACTTAGGAAGCTGTAAGAAGAAGCTAAAGCAAAAGAGATGGCTGAAGCAAGGAGACTGCAAGAAGAAGCTTCCTCTCTTCTTTTGTTAGGATAAATGGTTGTTGTGTGGAAGAGAAGATGAACACAACTTTTATAGGAGATGGCCACAACTTGTGCTGACCGAGAACACAATGTTAGTAAGTAACATTTGTAATACAGTTTGATTAATGCCAATAGAACATGTTTTTGATTAGTTGTAGTGACTTTGTTGATGCCAATATTTTTTTTAACCATTCCTAAATAAGATACTTGCATTAAAGGAGATTAATTAGAAGTTGCTTAAGAAAAGTGCTTAACATCTATTTATTGTTAAAAGAAATGATTAAGCACCTCATCTCATTAGGGGTGCTTTGGTTGATGGTGCTCTAAGCACGCTCGAATGATGCTTGTAAAGCAAACTTTTCCTCTTTTCACGTTTACTGAGAAAAGACCTCGGAAAGACAGCTCCACTTCGAACTTCTCACTTTTCCCATCTCCCAAAAAGCTCTCTTTAATGGCGATTATCAGAGAGGAAGAAGAGGAAACGAAAACCCTAGTTCCACCTGGGAGTAAAGAATCGACTATGAAGAACCCGAAACCTAAATTTCAATCTCAAAACCCTTTTCCTTTTTGGTTCTACTTCACACTCGTCTTCTCACTCGCCACTATCCTCTTCGTATCTCTCTCTCTTTACTCTTCTCACAACGATCCCAGATCCTGGTTTCTCTCGCTCCCACCTGCTCTTCGTCAACATTACTCAGAGGGAAGAACGATCAAAGTCCAGGTAAACCCAGACGAATCACCGATCGAAGTATTTGTAGCTGAATATGGTCCGATTCAATCGGAGAATGTAATAATCCTTCATGGGTTAGGGCTGAGTTCGTACGCGTTTCGAGAGGTTATCCAATCTCTTGGATCTAAAGGGGTTCATGGTGTAGCTGTTGATTTGCCCGGAAATGGATTCTCTGATAAGACGATGGTAGTGGTAGGTGGAGATAGAGAGATCGGATTTTTGGGTAGAGTTAAGGAAGTGTATGGTTTGATTCAAGAAAAAGGCGTTTTCTGGGCGTTTGATCATATGGTTGAGACTGGAGATTTGCCTTACGAGGAGATCATCAAGATTCAGAACGCGAAACGGAGAAGCTTGAAAGCTATTGAGTTAGGGAGTGAAGAAACGGCTAAGGTTTTAGGTCAAGTGATTGATACTTTGGGTTTAGCTCCTGTGCATTTGGTTCTTCATGATTCAGCTCTTGGGTTTGCTTCAAATTGGGTTTCTGAGAATCCCCAAAGTGTTCGAAGTATAACACTTGTTGACTACAGTATTAACCCAGCATTGCCCTTATGGGTTTTTCACATACCTGTAATCAGAGACGTCTTGTTAGGGTTTTCGTTTGCTTTCAAGAAGCTCGTGAGCTTACGTTGCTCAAAGGAGATGACTTTGTCTCAAGTCGAAGCTCATAGGATACTTTTGAAAGGAAGAAACGGGAGGGAAGCTGTTGTTAGTTCGCTCAAGAACGTTAACCATAGCTTTGACATTGCACAGTGGGGTAACTCAGATGCGGTTAATGGTATTCCGATGCAAGTGATTTGGTCTAAAGAAGTGTCTGATGTATGGAGCGAGGAGGGCCAACGTGTAGCTAAGGCTCTTCCAAAGGCAAAGTTTGTCACTCATTCAGGCAGCCGGTGGCCTCAGGTTAGTGATTTATTGGACTGTATAGCCATCTTAGCTTTATTGAACTGCACAAAGCAGAGGTTCTTTTGTTTATACTAAAATGATATCATGTAATGACTAAAGCTGTTATAATCACACCCAATTTCAGAATATAGATCGTCAAAAAATCAATTTTTCATTGAGCTTTAACATTAATAAGAGCTGATTGTTTTCTTGTACGTTTTTTTTATTTCGCTTTTTTTTTGTGCATTATCATCATGCTCTCCCTACCAGTAGCCTTTATGTTTCTGTTGCTTGAGTTTACTCAACTGTAGAAAAGAAATTTAATGGTTTAGGTATCTGTGGAAAATCTTAAGTTTTGCCGTTTTCAGATTTCTTACTGGCAATTTGTATCTTTAAAGATGTATGTATCTCAGAATAAGTAAACAAATTCAATATTCACTGTTGATGGTGCAGGAAAGCAAATCCAGTGAGCTTACTGACTACATTGCTAATTTCGTCTCTGCGCTTCCGAGATCCATCATACGGGTCTCTGAAGGACCTATACCAGAGAAAGTTCAGAAAATATTGGATGAAGCAAAGGCCGGTGGGGACAATGACCATCATCATGGCCACGAGCATGCCCATGCTGGTTACACAGATGCTTACGGTCTTGGTGAGGGATGGACTACTTGATATGGTTGGAGTTCTTGATGCTTGTTTAAGTTTATTATGCCCTTTTTGAAAATATTATTTTGTTTGAATTCTTACATATTGTTATGTAAACCCGTTTCTTTCTTGTAAGTCAGCAAATTTTCAATTGGAAAATCTACAATTCCAAAAAGTGGTCAGCTAAACAGTCATCCGAGCGTCTTAATTTTGGCAAGAACATTAAAAATGATCAACGAAGTAACAATGACCGTTTTTGATCTTTTGATTAATCGGCTTCGGCTGAGATTACTCGTGGGTTTATTTTTTCTGAAGAGCAGGTTTATCTTTTCTTGTATTGGTCTAAAATTTATTTACAACTATCACTATTTTTTTGTTTCGAATCCTAACAATTTAGTTTATTGTTTTTATCATTTTTTTAGAAAAAGTATGGAATTTGTTTGCAAAGATTAAAAAATGATATGTGTGAATTAATAGTATAGAATTCTATATAGAAGAATAATGTGTTTTCATTATTGAAATGTGGTAACAATATAAATGTTTGATTTAAATTGAAAATAAGTTTATCATATCACTATTTTTTTTGTTTCGAATCCTAACTATTGAGTTTATATGTTTTTATCATTTTTTTACAAAAAGTATGGGATTAGTTTGACAAAGATTAAAAAATGATATGTGTGAATTAATAATATAGAATTCTATATAGAAGAATGTTCTATTTAAATTGGAAATAAGTTTATCTTGTCATACATTTATATCATAGTTCTAACCATTATTCTACACTATTTTGTATCCCTATTCGATTTAGAAGTTACTAATATTTTTTGATCCATTTTTCAAAGTGCAAATATCTCTTTGGTTACCATTTTGATAATTTTGCATGAATTTATAACATACTATTAGAAACAAATAATTTAAAAAGTGTTTTATAATGTTTGAATTTCAAGTAGTATTTTCATATCATATATATATTCTGATTGAACCCGTAGACCCGACACCAAATATATAATCCGGTTTTAATTTTAAGTATTTAATCATAGAGTATTACAAAATATATGCTGAATGTTTTTGGAGGATTTTAAAGTATTTTTTTAATTTTGAACTTATAAATGATTTGAACGGATACGCAAACTTGAAGTGAGAAAAATTACAAATATTCGAATGCGGTTTAAATCTCAAACTCCAAAAACCTAAAACTCAGATCCATACCAAGGTACATTCTCTTTGTTAGTTATTTGTCTTGGATTATGTGATTACCACAAACCTGTAATCTCTGTGAAATCACATTTAAAATTTATATTTTATTAACAATAATATTATAATATCACCAATTTAAAAATCTAGGAATTGAATATATGAATAGTCAAGTTGGTGAAATCATTAAATAATTAACACAAAATTACTTCAAAATATTTTTTTCGGACATTTTAGTTAACTATATTTTCTGAGAGTTGCTGTCAGTTTTCACTAAACATAAAATGTACACCATCAACATTGGAGAATATTCGGTAGGTGATTTGAATTAATGAAATTGGTCACAGATTATTTTTAAATAATAATATAAGAAATTAATTTTAAACTGACTAAAGTCAAGCGGTAAGTCAACTATGTAATATTCAAAAGTGTAGATGTTAGGTTAAAATATTATTAGGTGGAAAAATTAAATATAATATGCATAAACACATAGTTGTTTATAAGAAGATTAACAAAATATTTTTGATAGAAATGTTTTGTGTTGTCTAATATCATAAGACTTTATCTGCAAAACCATTTATTATGCTAAATATAAAGGGATTTTTGCAAATTTGACTCAAAACTCATGGTCAAACACAAAACTAACTTCTTCTTTTATCTCATCTTGTTTTTGTCCTATCTACCCCACATGTTCATTTTATTTACGAAAACGCCATTAAATTTTTTTTTTTAATTTTTTTCGAAAATGGCCTTTTTACTCTCTCAACCTCATCATCTTCAACTATTTACAACATTGCCATTGCCATGAATACTCCCAACAACCTTGTACAACCCAACAACCTTGTACAACCAAGGTTTGAAGCTTTTAATGCACTTAAAATCGATACTCATACTCTCTTTCTCAATTGTTATGAACTAAAAACAACATCTCCTTCACTTTGTCTCCATATTCATGCCAAAAACCCAAGCTTTTTGATAGCA